TTTACAAATGACATGTTAAAGTATGCGGCTCCAGGGGAAGGCCTACCCTCAGGAAAGCTAGGAGCAATGGTCCTAGTATACTTCCCTCTCCACACCCCATGACTACACTCTCCATCCAGAAACAACTTGGGGGAAATCCCCTTTTCTGGACAGTGATGTAATTCCCATTCTATATGTTCTCTACTTTGTAATCATCAGCTCCTCTCTAATGCCAAACTTGCACAACTCAGAGCCCTTGGCACTTACGAAATTGAGTACCATTATAAAAACCATATGATTTTGCTCCACACACCTCAGCACGTCCATGCATATAAATGTGTAAAATGTTTTTTAAAAATCTTTTAATGGGGCCGGGGATTTAGCTCAGTGCTTTTGCCGCCTGCTGCTCAAGAGCAAGGACCAGAGTTCAATCCTTGGTACCAAAAAAAAAAAAAAAATCTTTTAATGCTTCTCCAGTGTGAATGATGCAGTTTTCCAAATACACAGAGCAAGGAATGCAAATGCTACAGGAAATGGGGCAGGTAGGGGCGGGGGACAGGAGGGTATTATTATAAATTCTTTTTAAATGGAGTAGAAGCACAATACCGAAATGCTAAGATGAATGTCTCGACTATATTTAGAAGGACTACTCTGACTTTTGAAAGTCTAAGAGAAGCATACTTGCCAAATAATCTACAAAGATATTTTCTCAGGGTGGTCATAGGTGAGTGCTGCAGAAATCTGGAAATGCGGACAGCAGTCCCCCTCCCCGTGGCTTTCTGGTTTCCAGAGCACCACCTCAGGAACCTGCAGCCACAGACGGCATCTTAATGCCTGACCTCTCCCTCCGGTCATGCAGCTCAGAAGCCAATGCTGGGAATTCGTGCTAAATTATGCTATCCTTCCTCTCTTAATTTTACGGTTTTCAACACAGATTTGCTTTCCTGTGGGAAGGAGATAAGAAGCTGAGGATTTTAATTTAAGCTCTGGCCTTGTCTTACTTTGCAAGATGGGTAGTGAAAGCAGTATGAGTAGGCGTGTCAAACCCAACAAGGGTTACGTCCATTTTGGTGGCCGAGTAATAAGAAGTCTCAGTAATGTGTGAGCGGAATTCTAAGGGCCCCAGTTTCGCCTCCTGCCGACAGTCTCCAGCACGTGTGTGCACCGAACAAAGCGGATTCCACCCTCACTGCAGACACCTGACGCGGAGCCGTGACAGTGACACGTCCGGGGCCTGATGGCGGCGTCCGGGCCCAGAGCCACGGGCGAGACTCGCGCACAGCGTGAGCTCTCGCACCGACAGTGTGGCCGTCCTGAATGCCACTCTCCTCATCTCCAAATGGCGAGGTGCTGTATCTTCCGGAGGGGAATAGGTGGCGGGAGGAAGGATCGAGCCCCGCCTCGGTCTCCGGACAAAGGTGTGGGCTGCGCTGTGACCGCCAGCTACAGGCGCACACGTGTGCTTAGGAAGCACCGAGACGTCCCCAGGGGACGGGCCCTGTTCGCTGGCCGCTCACTTCCCAGGGGTCCAGAAGCTGGGGCCGACAGCACCCGTTGGGTAACAGGGTCGATCAGCATGTTTTAAAAATAAAAACAAGCAAAATCTGAAAAGCAAGCATCAGGTATTGTGAAGAAAGTGAAGCAGCCATGGGGGGACGGTGTAGATCTACCCTACGCCTGCAGACAGTGGTGAAGCTGCACGAAGCCCCAAGCCCGGGAGGCCGGCTGCTTTCTGAGGGACGCTGAGAAGCAGAGGCCACTGGAGAGCGGGAGGGGACGCCGGGGCCCTGGAGCAGGGTGACCCTGCTCCGTGTGCACCCTGGGGTCGCGGGGACGCTGGTGACCCCCCCGAGGCTCGGACTCACTGCACTCAGGGAGGAGCACGTCAGCCTCACGCACCCTCTGCGCCGGGTGCCCAACGCCCAGAAGCCCACTTCCTGCGACCCAGGCCTCCTGCTCCCTGCTCGGGAAGGAAGTGGGAGGCGCCGTCTCCATCCTCCTGACGCCCGCCGGGCAGCACGTCACCCTCTCCTTCCAGGTGGGGGACAGGCCAGGCCGGAGACACGGAGGCGAGGCCTGGCTTCCCAGGCCTGGACTCGGAGCTGCCCACTGTGACGTCTGCGAGACTCTGTGTGGTCTGTCCCGACACAGGGACCAGAGTGGACAAAGAGGGACTCAGCACGGTGTCAGAGCTTTGGAGACACAAAGGCCGCCTTTTGCCAGGACCAGGCCATTCCGGAAGCTGCCTGGCGGCTGCCCAGCCACACCCAACAGGTGACAGCCTCTCTGGCACCCACACCGCCTGTGGACACCACGAGGGGCCACTTAGGGGCCCGAGAGCCACCCAGAGCAGTGTGCCCAGAAGTGACCCGCTCCCCACTGGCAGGAGCCCATGGTGCACGAAAGGCAGGCCTCGGGAGTCTCCTGGTGGGAGGGGCCCAGGAGCGCGAACCCCAGTCCCACCTTCCCCCAGCCAGAGCGGGGGCTGCCCACGGAGGGAAAGGCCCCGGGGACTCAAAAGCACCACCAGCGGGCTAGGTGAGGAGAGAGCCCATCTCGCCACGGGCCTTCTGGTGCACTGGATTTTTTTTACAGAACCTGAAGAGAGCTGGCAGTCATGAAATAAAGCCACACCCGGCTGGATGAGTCCTCCGAAAGGCTGGCTGACTCTCCCCCAGCATGTGACACCAGGAACCAAAGCCCGTCCTGGCTGCCCCGGCGGTCAGTGGAAGACACCAGAGACTGCACTGCTTCCTGTCCAGGCTCCTGAGTGGGCCCGAGGCTGGGCTCCAATCCCAGGTGCTCAGAGTGCTTCCGGGGAACCCAGTGAATTTCCCCAACTCTCCATCCTCATCTGTAAAATGGGAGGGTACTGGCTCTCAGGATAACGAGCAAGGCAAGCAGAACATCCAACTCTGTCCAAGCCATAATGTATGTTCCATAAATACCAGCAGAGTAGATTAAGAAGAGAACATGTATGCAGAAGGTGAAATATAGCATGGCTTTTCTTTTTTTTTTTGGTACCGGAGATCGAACTCGGGTCCTTGCGCTTGCGCAGCAGGCGGTGAAACCACGGAGCTAAATCCCCGGCCGTAGCATGGCTTCTCTTATATGAGCAACCCAAAGTATAAATAATGTAAAGAGCACAATGAAAGGTTTGTCACAGAGAACAGAGGTAGATCTTCTTCAGACGGAAGAGGGGGAACGCAAGGGGAAGTAAAAAGCTGGCGTGTGTGCGTGCCAACCTCTCCGAGTGCTGCATCTCCAGGGGTCACTTTTAGGACTAGGTTTCCTCTGCATTTATTCTTTTTTTTGGTACCGGGGATCAAACTCGGGACCTTGCCCTCGCGAGGCAGGCGTCAGCACCACTGAGCTACATCCCCGGCCCTTTTCTGCATTTATTCTTGTTTGGTTTTTGAGACAAGGTCTCGAGATGTAGCCCAGGGTGGCTTTGAACTCCCAATGATCCTCCTGCCTCAGCCTCCTGAGTGCTAGGATGACAACTGAGCACCACCCCCCCCCAGCTTGAGGAGAAAGCAGCGGAGGGGGTGGGAGAAGCTGTGGAGATGAGTTCAGGGTGCGAGCCCAGCGGTGTCGGTTAAGACAAAGATAAGGCACTTAGCCTCTCCAACTTCTTCTTCTCCTTCACATGAAGCTGCCATGAACTAATCCCCTGCTGGTGATAAAGTGCCGCTGCAAACGCTGTTTCAGTTCCTCTTCTTCATTCCGCCATGTCTGCAGTACACACCACACTCCTC